TATATATATATATATATATATATATATATATATATATATATATATATATATATATATAAATATATGAAAAATGGATGTGGGTACTCAAATGAAAGGTCTTGATGAGTGTAACACCAGGATGAGCTTATATCTTTAAAAATGTCAATAGTTCACAAGATACAAGGTAATTTCTTAATTATGCATCTAGAGATAGAGCGTTTTCGAATGCAGCCTAAATACGTATCATCATAAATTGACTATTTTATCATAAAAATACACTGGCTACAAAATTTTACTTATTTTTTTAATAATAATATAGATTATTCACATTCTTACTTTTGTTCTTTTGGTCCCAGGGCTGTCGGTGGCAGGTGGATGACTTCTTGCAGGATGGTGTCCACTCCCTCGATGTCTTCTTCGTTTCCTCTTGCTGCTGTAACTTTCCTCGTAGTCGTAATCGCTATCTGGGTCTGGTTCCTCAAAAGCATCCATGTCCAGCATATCTTGCTCGTCATAATACCACCCATCTTTACTGTGCTCGTCTATTAGAATACAATATTATTATTATTATTATTACTATTGTTTTTCAATAAATTTATATTTATATAATTGTAATAAATTAATTATGATTATTGATTAATTACCTTTAAGAGCAGCAGATTCTTTGGAATCATCATTCATACCCGCTATTATTCCATCAGCTCCCTCAACCCCGTCATCTATGTCACCTCTGACTCCCCGTTTGGGATGTAAATAATGCATCAGGTACTGACGTCGTTTTTTTCTCCATCTTTTACTAGGATATGTATAAATTTGCCCGTGTAATAAACCTGGCATACGTTCTCGTGAACACATAAACAGAGCCGAATGGTTCTGTGCGACTCCTATGAGTATAAATTAATTGGTAAATTATTTTTTTTCTTTTAGAAATAAATTACTACTTAGAAAATATTGATAAAAAAATATTTTTAAAAAAAGCATTTTTCAAATTTTCTACATGTAAAATTTTTTCTTTTAATTTTTTTAATAAAAAAAATTAAAAAACTTTTTAGATGTCAGCTAACGTAATTTTCATGAAAAAGAAACTAAAATTCGACGTTTTTAATTTTTTTTTATTTATTAAATTAGAATTAAAAAATATTTTTTAAAAATTGTACTCAAATTTTTGACTTAATTTTTATGTTTATTGTAGAATCATGAGTTTTTAACTCCATCTATGGCGAAATTCCCATCATCCTAGATGACAATAACTAATTAGGTGACATTAAATACCACCAAGCCTATTTTCTTACTGTACCCAGGTAAGATTGATATCAATTAGTAAAAAAAAAAATGAATTTTTTAAATTACCTGTTTGAGAGTCAAGAAAAGGCATACGGAGTCTTCGTTCTCTGCATAATCTACTGTTGTACGTTGATGAATTTTCAATGGCTTCCCTGTACGCTGTATCGTTGAGAAAGCTGTGGAGTAGTTGATGATATATATATATATATATATATATATATTAATGGAAAATATTTATGGTTATTGTAAAAAATCAAAAATTACGAACCTCTCGATTTTATTTAAATTAGCTTCATTAACCACCTGGATAATGGAGTGGGCTGACGGTATTGTTGCAACCGCCGTCATTTTGGCTCGCCCAAGCGTTCTCGGGTTTTTAAGGAACGTCTTGACGGCAGTTTTTATCACACTATGTACAACCACAAAATGACTGCTGGAAACCAGGGGGCTGGAAAGTAACCCGACAACTAGCGCCGAGAATCCACGAACGGTGCTGATCAATACTTAGAAGTCTGAGTGCGCAAACTCAGAACGCTCCGAATACGTCCGAACTCTGTTATTATTTATTTTTTATGAATACAGAAATTGAAAGATCTGATAATTTATATAATTTTTTTTTACAAATAAATTATAGCAAGAAAATTTTATTAAAAAAATTTAATTTTTTTTAATTCTAAAAAATTACAAATGCAATTTTTTAAAATTAATTTTCTAGATTTAATTTGTTTAAAGAAAAAAATAAAAAATTTTCAACTGTCACCTAATTCGGTGTAAATTTTTTTAAAATTCAGACAGTTGTATGTATCTCGCGCCCCGTATTTACATATTTGTAATTTTTCTTTTTTCTTTTAAAAATCCTATCCTATGATACAAAATTGATGACTAAAGTGAAGTTAGTTTAGTGTCGAAATTCTCGATACTAATCGAAAAAAAAAAAAAATGGAACCTTAATTCTTATTGGTTAGAATAAAAGTGCGCGCGCAAAGCGCACCATTTAAATTTCCAATAAATATTACTAATGTTATTCGTAATTTAAAAGTTATATCATTATCATAATTAATGCAAAAAATAATGACATTAAATAATGAAGTTAGCAGTCACTTGACCATTTTCCATTTTTTTTACAAATTACTTCAAAAAAATTATTTAGCAAAAATTGTACTTTTAATTTTTCGATATCAATTTTTTTGCCATAATTTATTTGTTACAAAAATTATTAAATGTCTGATAAATTAATTTTCATAAAAAATAAACATTTTTAAGATCTTATTTATCGATTAATACAAATTAATACAGAAAAAAAAAAACAAATTAAATACTTATCATATTATTAATCACTTGTAGTATTTATTTATATTTTTCTTCAAATATTCATAATAATATAAGATTAAAAAATACGTAAGTAAATGCCAAAAAAGAACTTAAATTATTGTCTAGGTGACGATTTATTTTTTATCCAACAGTAAGTCATGAAAAAGTGTTATTCATACAGTATTCGCTTAAATACCTATTTTTGAATGTCAAACATATTCTTGATGTAATTCAAAAATATTAAAAATGCATCAAATAAATAAATGAATTATTATACCCTAGTGCATATAAGCAAAATAACCTGTAAAATAAATATAAAAACATTTTAAAAATGTTCTTCGCAGTTACGGTCTTTCGTTTCTTTGAAAGTTTTAAATTTGTTGATGAGGTCTTGAACTGATATTTCCCCGTGTACTTTGTTATCTCTCGTTCTGACATTTACTGTCTCAGCAGCACGTTCTTTTTCTCCAACAACTATAAAAAAAATAAATGTATCAAACCTCTACAAACAATCTGCTATTATTTAAAATTATTAAAAAAGTTCTCATTACCGAGAATAAAGTTGAATTGTGCTATTTGAGCGTTACGAATTTTTTTGTTCAACGTGTCGCTGTGATCAATGTCAACTTCAGTCATAAACCCAGCGTCCCAAATCTTCTGTTTTACTTCATTCGCATACTCATCAAACTGTGGGCCCACTGGGACAACCATAACTTGTCTTGGTGATAACCAGAATGGCCATTTTCCAGCATAACTTTCAGTAAGAATAGCAATCATCCGTTCAACGGAACCCAGAATTGCTCTGTGAATGATTACTGGCTTGGTTTTCTCTCCACGTTCACTGAAAAATAAAATAAACAATTAATACCAACATTTATTTGGTAATTATTTACAAGTGGGGTCAACCTATGCTAGCCCATGTTTTTTTTTCTTTTTTTTTTGATCAAATTGATCAATTTTATTTTTTTTAATTTTCTTATGTACTTTTCAAAAAAATACATCAAAAAAAGATTTGATAGAAATTTTATCCAAAAACATAAGAGCCAAAATTTTTTCCAACTTTTAAAGGCAAAAAAACTACTGACATCTTTATTTTTTTCTTTCACGATATTTTTTATCGAAAAAAAGATCAGAATCAAAAAAACATTTCACTTGCAATTTTATTTTAATTAAAAAAAAAGCCAACTCCAATAAATTAATTAATGCAATTTGTGAATTATAAATTTTTAAATGACTGGTTTTTTGATAAAATTCAATTTTTTTAATTGGAATAAAATTGCAAGTGTCTAAAAACTAGGCCAGTGTCAGTAGCTGGGTTCTTTTACCTAATTTATTTTTACAAATGATCAAAAAACTATGCTAACAACTTACTTAACATAGGACAAGTCAAAACGAATAGGAAGTTGGAAATCCAACTGAATCGTAGCACACTGGTGGGGTCTCTTCAAAGCATCCATGATAGTAATATCAATTTTCGGTCCATAGAATGCACCATCTTGAGGATTAATCGTCCAAGATATTCCAAAAGTATCTAAACTGTCTGACAAAGCTTTCTCAGCTTGTTCCCAAACTTTAATATCCCCCAGGTACTTCTCCGGCCGCGTAGACAGGCACAGGTTGAAAGTGAACCCAAAGACCGTGTAAACACATCTCAAAAATTCAAGAGCTCCCAAAACTTCATCTCTAATTTGCTCATGCGTGCAGAAGATATGCGCATCGTCTTGCTGGAATCTTCGGACTCTGGTAAGTCCCGTAAGAGCTCCAGACAGTTCATTCCGATGAAGAACACCAAAGTCAGCCATTCTCAGAGGAAGTTCCCTCCAAGAGCGATTACGAACGTCGAAAATCATACAGTGTCCCGGACAGTTCATTGGTTTCAATGCAAATGTTTCTTTTTCTACTTCAAAGGAAAACATATTGTCTGCATAGTGTTCCCAATGTCCAGAAGTCTGCCACAGCTTGCTGTTATAAATATTAGGCGTAACAACTTCTTGAAATCCTCTTTTTTTATACTCTGATCTTATGAATTCAACAAGAGTATTGTAAATATGCGCACCTCGAGGCTGAAAGAAACACGAGCCTGGAGATAGCTCGTGGAAGAAAAACAATTCTTGCTCTTTACCAATCTTACGGTGATCTCTCTTAGCAGCTTCTTCTTGGAACTTTTCCCACTCTTTCATCTGCTTAGGGTCTGGAAAACTGATACCATAAACACGCTGAAGAGTCTCTGCGTTAGCGTTACCTTCCCAGTAAGTTGATGAATTCTTGGTTACTTTAATCGCCTTTACTTTACCCGTGTGTCTGATGTGAGGACCACGACACAAATCAATCAACGGTCCGCATCTGTACACTGTAGTTGTTGGAGTCTGGACTTTTTCTTTGAGTATCCTGACTTTGAACTCGTTGTACTCAAACATCTTCAACAGGTCTTCCTTGGTCATCTCCAGACGCTCAAAAGGCTGCTTTTCCTTTACAATGTTCTTGTACAAAGATTCTAGGAATGGAAAATCAAGGTTTGAAATTCCTTTTTCACCGAGATGCATGTCGTAGTAAAAACCGTTCTCGATTGGTGGACCGTAACAGAGACAACCTCCGTAGACACGCTCCATAGCTTCGCCCAAGATGTGAGCGCTGGAATGCCAAAATACTTGCTGACCATCTGGGCTGTCGAATTTTAGTAATTCTAACTTGCAATCGCGCTCCAGAGGACGGTCAAGATCCCACAGCTCGTTGTTAACCTTTGCTATTACTGTGTTGTCTGCAAGCCCTTGGCTGATCCCCTTTGCAATGTCATAGGGACTAGTGCGCCAAGATTGGGCTGTTACTTGTTTACCATCAGGAAGTGTTACTGTTATATCTTCCACTGGCTTGGAGGCTAACTCTGCTTCGTATTTAGCTTTCAATTCATCCCACAGTTTCATACGATCCTGAATTAATAACAAAAATAATTAAAAATTTAATAAAAATTTTTTTAATATTTTTTACATAAAAAAATTAATGTTTTTAACATAAAAAAAAATTCTTTATTTGAAAATATTATAATGTAACATTTTTTTCAGTAAATTATTTTAATTCTATAAAAATTCCCATTCAAATATTTATGACATTAAAGTTAGCAATTATATGACTATTTAAATTATTTCTTTGACAAACAAATTTCTTCTCAAAAATTATTTTTAAAAAATTTAATTTTTAATTTTTTAAAATTTCGACGTATTTTTTGTCATAATTTGGAAAGAACTCCCACGCGAAATTGTAAATTCGAGTTGCATGCAAGTCTTCAAAAAAGAAGTTTTCAATTCCTTAATAAATCTTGATAATTAAAATGTCTAATAAATAACAAATTTAAATCTAATACATTAAAGATTAAAGTGAGGATAAAGTAAGTGTAATTCGCAAAATTATTATGATAAGTTATCATCTGTATTGATGACATTAAGTTTCTATATTTTATATTCTTATTTTCAATATTAATTTCCAAATTTAGTATGATTTTATCTTGTTTGTATACAAAAAAAAGTTATTTAAATTAACTTTATGCAATACTACATTATGTACTTAAAGAAATTGTTTTTTTGTAAAAACTGTATGTACTATTTAATATAAATTGCCATTTGGCCTGTGCATTGGCATTAATAAACAAAATCTAAAGTCTAAATCTAATTTATTTGTCAAAAAAAATTCTTAAATATCTGCTAAGTTAATTTTCATCAAATATAAAAATTAATTATTGAAAGAAAAATTCATTTTAAAAATTTCATATTTAGAAGCTGTAAAAAAAATTACAAATGTGACTTTCGAAAAATTATTTTCTGTACCGAATTTTATTTTCAAGAAAAATCAAAAAATCATCTAATATTTTGCTAATTTTAGGGCCAGTTTTTTAATCCAGGATAAAATTTTATCCAATGATAAAATATATCTGTATATTTCATATATATAAATATACTAACAATAATAATTTTATCCTAGATAAAATTTTATCTCGGATTGAAAAACTGGCCCTTAGTGATATATTTTTCAGACTCTACATTTTTAAATAATTCTTTTTTTAATGACTTTTATTAAAAAAAAAAAAAAAAAAAAAAGAACTAGGACGTCTATTAAACATTTATTTTCATTATAATAATTAATAATGTTATGTACCTGAATGTAAGAGGGCCATGGATTAAGCTCCGAAAGGTTACTCTTCTCTGCAGCTTTTTCCTTCTTGGCTTTCATTTTGGCCTAAAAAAAATCAAATTAAAATTAATTAAATAATATACCATTATTTTTATATTATTATACATTTATATTTTTGTTATTTGTCTACAACAAAAGTCACATGTTCGTTTACAGGCGGCAATTACGTTTGAGGTTACGTCAGACTATTGATCTAAGATTATTAATACAATGTAATTAAATCAACAAACTGGTGAAAAAAATAAACAAATCTCAGGAACTTATTTGTAAAATTCACAGGAAGCTGAATAGATAAATAATTAACTATTTTATTAGAACGAACCCAATAGTTGGAGTACTTAACACCTCGCTGAATAAAACCTCGATACCGCAATATGCTCAACATTTGTGTACTGCGTACACAGTATTAGCATCAAAATAAATAGTTAAATATTAAAAAAAATTTTTAACTCATGCCTTTTCACCCTTGATGTCAAGATTTTCAACGCCGGCTATTACGTCGGTCATTATGAATTTTTAAACTGCTAGTTTCTTGTAATTTTGACAAAAAAATGCTTGCGTCAGAATATCACAACTCACTGTGTATTGTAATGTTGAGCTATGCGTTGGTAAGGTCTATATTTCTATCCCTCGTACATGATGTCTCCACTAGTCTCCAGTGAAAGTACACGTATGTGTACATACAGCTTTACTAATAAATAAAATATTTGTTTAACATATGGTTCATTTATTTCTTCAGAGTTGTAGGAGTTAAAAGTTTAAACCTGTATAAATAAATAATAACAATGATTTTATGATGAGAAAAAATAAAAATAAAGTCGATCCTGCCAGGATTCGAACCTGGAATCTTCTGATCCGTAGTCAGACGCGTTATCCGTTGCGCCACAGGACCCTGATGTTCTACCGTTAACTTCCACTCCTTTTTAAAATACTTCTAGGTAAAAATATATGAACATAAGTTTCTATTTTTATTTTCTTAAAATGAAATATTTAATTTAATAAATTTTTTAGCCAGAAAAAATTAATTTGGTTAGTAATATTTTTAAGTAAAAAATGTTGATCCTGTAAAATAAAATAAAATTTAAAGTAGATGACATCTGACAATTTTTTTAAATTAAAAAATGTATTTGTTTAAATAATATTTTTAAATGTTTATACTAGTTAAAAAAAGTTGAAAAATGTTTGAAATATTTAATATTCATTTATTAATTATTATCTTCTTAAAAAAAGTTTAAAAATTTTACTTTCTAACATCTAGCTAATATTTATACCTTAATAATGAAAAAAACCTTTATAATAAATAATTTAAACCTTAATAATAAAAAAAATTTTGTATAAAACTGTAAAATAATGCAAATAAAATACCAAAATAATAAAAAATGTATTTATTAAAAAAAAAAATACTTATAAAGATAAAAAAAAAAATACTTACTTGTTTGATAATTTTTCTAAAATAAAATTATCATATTTTTCTATAATTATCGGTTGATATTTCATTCAATCAATAAATTATAAAAATATCTGTCAGATGTTTTTCACTTTGATATTAAAAAAAAATGATATTAAAATTAGCGGATATTTGATAATTTTTTTTTAAATAAATTAAATTATAAAAATTATTTTTTGAAAAATTGCATTTATAATTTATTAAAAATTCTAAAAATGAAAATTTTTTAATAATTTTTCTTGCTATATTTTATTTGCAAAAAAAAATTATAAAAATGATCAATGTCTCTTAATTTCAGTATCATTAAAAAAAAAAAAACATTATTAAAAAAAAATATAACTTGATTTATAAATGAGAAAACGAATAAATTTTATTTTCAAGTTTCAGAGTTTTGGAAATTAAATGTAAAAGGTTGACTGTCTGTTTTTTTACTGAATAAAGACGACAGACTAGGACCAGACCCGTTAACTTGTGCTCCATTTTGACTGATAGATGACGTCGACGGTTCTTGATCCAAGCAATGAGACTTTCTCAAGAAGACTGACTTATTTTCCGCCGCTTTAGCAGCTGAAAATTTAACTTTAGCTACGGATCTTCCGAGTTTTTTCTCTTCCTCAACCATCTTAGCACGATAATCTCCAAAAGTACTTCTCATGAGCTGTCTTTTTTGTACCAAAGCAACATTGCTGCTTTTCAATAAGTTTAAATTTTTTTGAGTATCTCTCAGCTGCTTTTCTTTTAATTTTCCACTGTGGATCCCTAATTCTAGTTGCTGTATACACCAGCAAAGCTCCAGCTCAAACTTGTTTTCAGATTCTTCATCTAGACCGCTTGATGAACTGGTTTCTGCTGGATCTTCGGGGAAGATTTGCGGTGGATAAGATTTAGGGGTTACCTTTGGTGGAAATCTTTTTCCTCCCTGTCAAACAGTACCATAAAAATTAAATATTGTAATTTTATGTAAATAAACATACAGTATATAACCTAATAAATAAAAATAATTACCGGCTTAAATTTTGGTGGCATTTTATTTCTTTATAATATAATTGTCATTAATTAAATATCAGCTGTTTAGTCTTATTGATTTTTAATAATAATTGTTACTTGTTATCTTATTAATATTTTATAAAAATTAAATAGTGACAATATAACTTTTGACATGTGGAGTTATTATTTTTTTGAGTGCAAGGGGAATGTGTTTATTCCAGAAAGTGCTGCCATCTTATGTCAAATAAAGAAAGAGACTCATTACCGTCAAACGTTCTTTACATTTTATTTCAAAATCATTCTGATAAGTTATTGGAGAGTTAGAATCTTGCATTGCGTGGTTTTTTTTTATTATTTTAATTGATTATATTTATCTAATCAAAAGACGTAACAAGCTGTAATTACTTCATTTCTTGGTAATATTACTCATAATTTTTTACATAATTGAAAAATGAAATTTAATTTTTGTATCTAATTATGATATTGAAGTTAGCTGACAGCTGTCAATTTTTTTCACTTTATAACAAATCAATTAGATTAGAATAAAATATGAAAAAAATTAATTTAACAAAAATTTGAAAATTAAAAAAAAATAAAATAAGTACATTATAGCAAAAAAACTTTTTTAAAAATTGACATGCAGAAATTAAAAAAAAAAAAATTAAAAATGCAATTTTTTAAATATTTAAAAAAAAAATTTTTTTCTGCTAAATAAAATTAAACTAGCAACCTTGCAATCACTATGTAACTGCCGTGAGTTGTAAACTATAAATAAATAAAATTTTGCTATATTAAAAATGACTTTTGTTAAATTGCACTGTACTTTTTTAACAATTGACCTTTTCAAAGATATAAGCTCATCCCGATGTTACACTTATCAAGAACTTTCATTTGAGTACCCACATGCATTTTTGATATATTTTTCATATATACATATATATAATATATATAAATATATGAAAAAATGATGTGGGTATCCAAATGAAAGGTCTTGATGAGTGTAACATTGGGATGAGCTTATATTAAATTATTAGCTTATATCTTCAAAAATGTCATTAGTTGCACAAGATACAAGGTCATTTCTTAATTATTGACATTTTTGAAGATATAAGCTCATCCCAATGTTACACTCATCAAGACCTTTCATTTGGATACTCACATCATTTTTTCATATATTTATATATATTATATATATGTATATATGAGAAATATATCAAAAATCCATGTGGGTACTCAAATGAAAGGTCTTGATGAGTCTAACATCAGGATGAGCTTATATCTTTAAAAATGTCAATTGTGCACAAGATACGAGGTCATTTCTTAATTATTGACATTTTTGAAGATATAAGCTCATCCTGATGTTACACTCATCAAGAGCTTTCATTTGAGTACCCACATCAATTTTTTATATATCTATATATATTATATATATGTATATATGAAAAATATATCAAAATGCATATGGGGGTGATACAGCTGACTGCTAATTTTAATGTTATTAAAATAAAAAATACTAAAAGTATATCTCAAATTTTGATTTTACCTGTTTAATAACTTCGTTTAGTTTTCTAGAGAAAAAAAAATTCAATTTCCTGTCCTTCGCATTCTGAAATATAAAAAATACTCTTTGATGGAGTGAATAGATAAATCGACTTTGATTCATAGTCGTTGAACCAGGTAACCAATTAGTGGAAAATTTACATTAATTCATAGGCATAAAAATTTGAAATTCAATTTTGGGTGATAATCAACCTTACGGCGGTTCTGATATCATAAATAGGTTTAAAATTATTAGTATAAAAAGAAGAAATAATAAAAAAAAAACGATTTATTGTAATAAAACAAAACGAATAATTAAATTTTATTTAAATATTTTCATATCATTTTATTACGTACACTCATGTTTGTATAGAAATATCATAGAAATTTTAGGGGATTTTTAAAAATTAATTTAGGTTTCATGACTAACACAAATCAATCACATTTCGTATATTTTTAATTATTTTTGTTCTTTTTTTTTTCGTTAATTTTCTTATTCACAATTAACATATACATACACAAAAGTAGGATGCAAGATATTTATAATATATATTTATTTATATTTATAATAATATGTATAATAATAATAATGTGTATGTATAACGAATTCAATTTATACAAACATCCAAAATACGCAAATCGTTTTACAGTACGACAGCTATACTTATTTTTTTTTTTTTTCATTTCGCTTTCATAACATAATTAATCTTATGTATACGTAAAAAGTGATTACTTCATTAATTAATATTTACAATTTTATTTTGAATAATTAATCTTCACCTCTTTTATTTTCTCGCGTGCTTTGGTATATTAAATTAAAAACAAATTAATTCTCACTCTCTCTTTCGCAGGATCTTAAAAAAAAAAAAAATCCCTTCTTTCATATTTTATACTCATCAGCATCTTTAGCAGAGCAGTAGTACGTTATTATAAACTTTTTTCTCATTGTAATTCCTGTTACGCTCATTAACAGCCGCCATGTAGCATTAATTATATTACAACGTTATTTACCATTCTTGCAATTATGGTATCTACCGAAGCTGAACCAAGACGGCGTCTTCTTATCTCACATTACCATGTTAGATACAATTTTTCACCGTTAATTTACATATTACATTCTTATTCTTTCATCGTGAATTAAAATTAAAAAACAAATAAGACCTTTCAGCTATTAATTTAGCTCGTAAAAGCACCAAAAACGTTTTTGTAAACTCAAAAACAATAAATAAATAATTATTTAACAAATTTAGTAACAGAAAAATAATGTTAATTACTGATTAATTATTACTTTAAAAATTAAAGTACAATAATAATAATAGTTATGATAGCAATGATAATAATAATAATAATAAAAATAATAAGAGTGAGAATTTTCTAGATAATAATAATTATTATGTACAATGTCTATTAAGAAAATGGCACTACGGACTGCCGGTGTCGTGATGTAAAGAATCACTGTCACTTTCTAAATAAGTAACATAGCTGTCTGTACTGTCAGGGTGTTGGCCCATATCTGGACCCGAACCAACACCAGGATGAAGATGCCCTGGAGGCGGTAGAGGTCCACCACCTGGAATCGTTCCGTCATTCATGGATCCCATCATACCTGGTTGCGATAATTGAGGAGGTCCGTGCATATCGTATCCATGCATCTGAAAATCAATAAAAATCAATTTATATTTTGTGAACTATCAATAAATAAAATTTTGCTTTATTAAATGATGATTTTTGTTAAATTGCACTGCACTTTCTTAATTATTGATATTTTTAAATATATAAGCTCATCCTGATGTTACACTCATCAAGAGCTTTCATTTGAGTACCCACATGGATTTTCATATATTTTTCATATACACATATATATAATATATATAAATATATAAATATATGAAAAAATGATGTGGGTACTCAAATGAAAGGTCTCGATGAGTGTAACATCAGGATGAGTTGACGCTCGCATAAATATTACTTTATTAAAGTTTTCAAATTTTATGTTAATGAGGTTCCAAACTTTATTAATTTAGTTCTATACACTGATAAAAAAATTGACTTGACTCAAGAGCCAAACTCTTGGACCAAGAATTCCATATTGAAGAAACTGATTTTCTTGTGCCAAGAGAATAAATTCTTGAGCCAAGAAATATTTACTTAACTCAAGAATTTATTCTCTTGACTTAAGAAAATCATTTTCTTCAAAATGGTATTCTTGGTTCAAGAGTTTGGCTCTTGAGTCAAGTCAATTTTTTTATCAGTGTATTTTTAAAGATATAAGCTCATCTTGATGTTACACTGATCATGAGCTTTCATTTGAGTACCCAGATGCATTTTCATATATTTTTCATATATACATATATATAATATATATAAATATATGAAAAAATGATGTGGGTACTTAAATGAAAGGTCTTGATGAGTGTAACATCAGGATGAGCTTATATCTTTAAAAATGTCAATCGTGCACAAGATACAAGGTCATTTCTTAATTATGTATCTAGAGATAGAGCATTTTTGAATGGAGCCTAAATACTTATTATCATAAATTGACTATTGGTGAGAATGATATGAAATCTTGAAAAGGTATTTTTTTGTATTTTTATTTAAAGATTCAAAGCATTGAAGGGTGGAACAAAGGAACTATCTTGAAACAAAATGTCTACCTGAGACACTAAATGATGAAACGACGGAGCGTTTGGATCCATCCTATCAAGATCTGTGTGCATAACAAAATCAGAAAGTGACTTCCATGGTGGTTGGTAAGCTTGAACTTCCAGAGGAGTTATTCCAATAGGACTTTCATGTCTCACCGGACTGCTAGCAACCATAGGAATTCCATGCATGCCGCCGAATCCCAACTTGCGTCCATCCTGTAAGTAAATTTTACATTTAATTATCAACCCAAAATTAATTTATTAAATTAATTATTAATTTATTAAATTAATAATTACCTTTTCTTGTTGCATTTGTTGTTTCATAGCAATTGTTTTCTTCTTGTCTTTACACCGTTTATTCTGGAACCAGACTCTTATAACCCGAGGACTTAGGGAAGTCATCTCCACAAGTTGTTCCTTCATCAAGGCATCTGGCCTGGGATTCGCTGCGTAACAAGTTCTCAGCGTATGAAGCTGCTTTTCATTCAGCACAGTACGTACTCGAGTTGGTTTGCCATCAGAACCACCTCCGCTTTTGTGGCTACCGGGTACTCGCGTATTACTGGCCGCTTTGTGGGATCCGCTTTCCGAGCCAGAGTCTGCAAGTAAGTAAATAGAAAAATGAATACATTTTTTTTATTTTAAAATAATAGTAATAATAATCTAATGTAATTTATTAACTGACTGTAGGACAACGTTCACTAACAGCCAAAAGATACATAAAGTGTTACAGAGTGTGTGAGAAAATCCAATATTAAGATGTAACATTTATAGAATTTAACAAGAAAAAAAGGAAATAATTAGAAAAATAGCTCAAAATGAGAACTCATAATAATAACAGTAGTAGTAATAATAATAATTTTTCAGGTGCTTAAACATGACCATATATGCCAACGTTTAATTTTAAGATGAGAGCGCATCTCTTCTTTTGTCTTGGCACACTTTTGATGCAAAGTTATACAGATTGGCCAGTGGGTAATCATCGAACAGTTAACTGAAATGAATATTAAAGAGTTAAATATATTTTTTAAAAGAAAAGAAGAAGGACAACTACGAAAACAGCTTATATCTTGTCTTGTATTATATTTCTAGTACAGGTATATTATTCCAATGAAGATTGGAGAGCTAACCGATACCAAAGCAAAAGTGTGCGATCACCTTGCTCTTTTCTTCGATTCAGCCAGCAGGTTTGCATGCAACTGCGGAAAAAGTTTATGTTAAACTATTTACCTTTGGTAAAAACAGAAGGAGATTTTAGTTGGGAAGTGGAGAGTGAAGAGATGAGACCAGACGAGAAACAGGTAAGGATAACTACCAGGTAACACCGCTCCGTTGATGGCCAACCGAAAAAATACTAAACCAATACAAGAGCAAATGAAATCCGGCGGCTTATCTCTCAACCGTACGTCCTAACCAAATAACCGTCCGTATGTGGACGAGGTGAACTTTCAGGGACACACGATCATCACCATCTCTTCTCGAAAGTCTCCAGATTTAAAATAAAAAAATAAGACATTTTTTTTATTTTTTGAATTAATAGATAAGTTCATATCATGATGTCTTCACAATCCACTATGTGATTGATTTGATCAATATTGAAAACTAATGATTTATTCGTATTAATTTTCCAGGTACTTATTAATTCAGTGGATTCAAGATCCGTGCTCTTTCTGTCAGAGCACAATTATTTTTTAATGATCTTGAATGTTTATGAGAAATTGAAATCAAGAACGTTCCGTCAAGAGTTTAACGGCAAGTATACGGAAATTTTATAATTGAATTTAAACTTATTGAATTTTTGATAACTTGCAGTGTCATTTCATTTATTTATTTTTTTTTCTTCATTTCAAATAAGTTGGAATCACTGAAGCGTTAAATTTAAATTAGTTACTGGAAAAATAATTCTCAGTAATATATAAGGTAATTAGCTATAATCTTAATACTCTGCTATCTTTATTTTACTAAATACATCCATTGCACGGGATATCTCGACTCCTGTCAAACAATAATGATGCTTTTCAACTCCGTAATTGTATTTTTTATTCTAATTCTAGTTAATCCATTAAACTATTCAAAAAAAGATTTTATCAAATCGGAAAAATACTTAAATTAAGATATAAAGCCATTTAAGTAATCTTAATTTTCAATAAACTTTCTTTGATAATAGAAAAGTATGACTTTTTTAAAAAACACATTTATTTAATGCGCGATAAATTTGTATTTTCTCATGGAACAATAATTTTATTGCATTAGCATCCGAATTACTTCAATAAACATTTTATATTACAGCTGGCTTTGCTGGTATTATCTATATTATTATAGAGAATAAGAAAAATTTTGTTTCCAAGATAGTCATATGATAAAATCGGTTTTTTTAGTGAAATTTAGTGTCATTAAAAAGGTTTTGACTTGAATTTGTGCCTTTTTAAGGTTTCATTTCATTTCTACCGATAGTCAATTTATTATGATAAGTATTTAGGCTGCATTCGAAAATACTCTATCTAGATACATAATTATGAAATGACTTTGCATCTTGTGAAATATTGACATTTTTAAAGATATAAGCTCATCCCGATGTTACACTCATCAAGATTTTTCATTTGAATACCCACATCGATTTTTCATATATTTATATATATGTATATATGAAAAATATATTAAAATGCATGTGGGTACTCAAATGAAAGCTCTTGATGAGTGTAACATCAGGATGAGTTTATATCTTTAAAAACATCAATAGTTAAAAAAGTACAGTGCAATTTAACAAAAGTCATTATTTAATAAGGCAAAATTTTAATTTCATAGTTCACAAGTCACAGCAGTCACATAGTTTGCTAGCTACTTTATTTTTATGAAAAAATCATTTTTATCTTATAGTAAAGTTGTAGGTGTAAAAATTCTTCATCAAAAATTGAACTTAACAGCATGTGGTTATCATAATTATCCTAATTTATTCAATTTTTTCCAGCAAACTCTCCATCTTATCACGAAAAAACAAAAGTATTCAACTCGGGCATGTAACCACAAAGACTTTTCAAAAAATCTCCACAGAATTTGCGTGTGGGATGTATATGTATAGACGATTGGAAAAGCTCTTACGCTGAACTCGATGCTCACAAGTGGATTCTCGGCTCTCCAATCGACATTAAAAGTTCGAGAAGAAATGTTAAGTATACACACACAGACGTATATTTATACGAATAAAAAAATTTAGATACGTATACGTATAGAGAAGTGGTCGTCGTTAAACGTGTGTCGGCGGTTAAAAAGAAACCGCGGCGGATTGTCTTTGAAGTTAACACAACCTGATGGCATGTATAGGCATCTCGGTCAAACAGATATCCAATGGAGTATAGTACACAACTTAGCAAACGCGGATTCCAAGATATCACAGCCGAGGCACTTGATATGTCAAGTTAATCGTAATTCGTAATCTTATTACCGATCTCGCCGATTTATTTTTATTTTTTATACATACAAAATCACAATCTCATTTTTTCCCACTGCGCTATTGTTTATAAAACAATATGAATTTTTAAGATTAAAATCAATATCTTTATCTGATAGATTTATCATAGATTATCATATTTTATCATCATTGATCATATATACATAATAGCGTAAGAACATAAGCCTATATTTACTTTAAGATATATATATTTGCCGGCGATATCAGTTATTGGTTTAGAGAATCATTAAATAATTAGAAAGCTAATTTACTTAAAGTATTAAGTACTTATACTTATATTAATGTATTGTCACAGCCCTACTGAGTATAATTAAAATCGTTCAACTTAAGTTTGAATTAACGATAGCTTATCGATGAAAAAACATATTAAAGTTTGGAAATTTTACAAAGTGTCTCATATGACTTTTGGTAAAACCCCGAGATAACGGAATGTTTAGTAAAGTAATAAAAAATAGTACTGAGACGGAAAATAACAATCTTACACAGAAAGAAAGGTTTACTTGAGCAAAGAGGATGTTTTACTTCCTAATTATTTTTTTGGGCGAAAAAAAATTTTTTTTGACAAGAAATTTCACTAATTCAAACTAAATTAATTCTCTTGCTTTAAGAAATACGTATCTTGATCCAAGAAAATTTATTTAAGTCAAGAAAATCTTGTTTTGAAAAAATTCAGCCTCTTGCTCCAAAAAATTTAGTTCTTGATGGAAGTTAATTTTCTTGTCTTGAGAAAATTTCTCTTTTGCTCCAAAAAATTAAATATAAAGATAGAAGTAAATTTTCATTAATATTTTTATTGATTAACATGTCAAATAAGATCAAATAATATTGAATCATTTTTTTTCATTCAATATGTATAATTGCACGCTAAAATAATATAAAATGGGAATCAAAAATTCAAGAGAAAAATTTTCTGAAGGTGAGAAAATTTTTTTCTTAGCTGAAATAGGAATAAAAGCGCGGCTTCCCTAAAGTGTCTAAAAATCTTGATCAAATACAAAAATTTATTGTATCAAGTATTTATGATAATTTGAATTAAGAAAAAATTACACCCAAAAATTTTCTTGAGCCAAGAATTTTGTTCTCTAGAAGAAATTTTTTTTTCTGTGTACAAGTTAAAAAAAAAATATATGCATCGAAATTCTATAGAAGATAAAGTCACGCGTCAGAGTGTGCTACGGTAGTTGACAAGTTGGTGTTATATTTGACACCTGTAGCAGTTCTAAGGAGTCCTATATAGTGTCATCACCAGGTTCACTTAAAGACATTAAAAAAACTTAAAACATATTATGTATATAATATTTTTACGTTGACCGACACATTTATGTACTAAATATCTATACATACATATTAACTCGATAAATATATACGCATATACTTATCCATAAATTATAAATATTTAAAAAAAACACGTAGGAGTAAAGAATATTATATCTGCAAATAAATATAATAATAATAATAATAACATACAGAATAGCTACTGTATTTTTTTTTAGCGCTTAACGCGTGCACAAACAATTTATTCGATAATTAACACCTCGGAGGAGAATAATAAAATAAAAAATTCCATTGAAGTTGAGAATTTTTAACTTAAATGTTAAAAATTTCTACATTCTTTGTAGATATTATAAATTTTTGATGATCCGTGGGTCATTTCTGAGAAGAGAGGATCAACGATGTGTGATAAATTCCTAAAGTGTGAACAGAGTAATACATGAATATAAAATATATGTATGTAATATAAAGGGTAAACTTATAAAGCTTTAGTTGATCCCGGTATCCACACGATGAAGCCGTCTTAACAGCTTCAATTATCAACACGTAATTACGCCGATCTAATCCTAACTTCAACACTGACCCTTTTGTATATTGACCCTTTCATTTTGCGTACCCTCATACAAATTGACTCTAGGCATCAAACGGCTATAATCCAACAATAATATGTCCAGCGAACTGGATAGAGATGTTTTTTATGACTAATATTCCTAATAGCCGGTAAGTCTGGTTCTTTTGGGAATAATTGAGCGCATATAATTATATGAGTATAGATAGATATTACATGAGTGGGCTTTTCTGTTGGATGGCAATTATAGTTATTAGTTATTAATAAATAATTTGAAATTACCGGACATGGAACCGTCGTTTGGTTGAAGATGATGATTATTGTTTGTTAATGAAGCATTGTTGTTATTTTCATTTCCAGCAGTATCTACAGCACCTGTACAATATTTTCCACTCTCCAGCATGTCGTGGTCGTGACGGCAGAAGAGCCCGTCTTGTCTCAGGGCAAACTGATCACCCGTTTCCAACTTCCTCATACACGTCGAACAACGAAAACATTCTTTGTGGTAGATTTTCGTTTTTGCTCTCATCACAAGCTCGTTTTTGTTGAATAATAGATTACATTTATCGCACTTGGCCCCAAACAATCTGTAAGTAAGTAATTTATTTATTAATTAATTTTTTAAATGTTATTAATTTTTTTTAATTCTAGGAACTCTTTATAAAATCAACGCTTGTATTATTGAATAACTTTTTATAAATATATTCAAGAATTTAATTAGCAACCTTGCAGTCACTATGTGCTTTCTCAAATATTGACATTTTTAAAGATATAAGCTCATCCCCATGTTATACTCATCAAGACCTTTCATTTAAGTACCCACATCATTTTTTCATATATTTATATATATATGTATATATGAAAAATATACAATATATATAAATATATGAAAAATTGATGTGGGTACTCAAATAAAAGGTCTTGATGAGTGTAACATCAGGATGAGCTTATATCTTTAAAAATGTCAACCGTGCACAAAGTACAAGGTCATTTCTTAATTATTGATATTTTCAAAGATATAAGCTCATTCTAATGTAACACTCATCAAGAGCTTTCGTTTGAGTACCCGCATGCATTTTTGATATATTTTTCATATATTCATATATATAATATATATAAATATATGAAAAAATGATGTGGGTACTCAAATGAAAGATCTCGATGAGTGTAACATCGGGATGAGCTTATATCTTTAAAAATGTCAACAGTTCACAAGATACAAGGTCATTTTTTAATTCTGTATCTAATAGAAATAGAGCATTTACGAATGCAGCCTAAATACTTATCATCGTACACTAAAATTTCCCAAAATGTTCTTGCAGCAGACGAGACTTTATCAATTGCTTGGCATCACCAAGTAAATTATAATCCGGTATAATTTATGGTGATGCGACACAACTGAAACTTTTCTGACAGTATAACTTAATAACGTTGTAGAAAAATCTACAAATTAAATAATAACTATATATCAATTAACTATTAATATTGATAATTATAAATGATAATAATAGCAATGAATTAATATTTATAGTTTTGCCTATTCTCTTAAAAATATAGATAAAGAATATTTATAATTAATGTAAAGTATTTTAAATTGAAGTGATCAAAAACCAAAAGAATTATGTAAAAATTTTAATTTGTTTTTTTTTTTTTAACGTAATTAAAGTCACAATACTGTTGGTTTATAATTAAAGCGAATATTGGTCGTTTAAAATCAATAAATAAAATAAATAAGTTAATATTAGTTCACGCGAATAATGAATAGTTTATAAAATAAAATAAATAATCCTGTCAATGGACGTTGGAGCGCGAATTGTTTACTTATGAGTTATATTAATCGACGACAAAATTGAGGAAAAAAATTCTCTCACGAACGTAAATGAATAAACTATTATGAAATAGTTACACATACAAACTATTTGTGAAAGGTAAATCGACAATTTTATTTTTTATTTTATTCAACAGAAATATCTGTATGTATATATATTCTATTTCTGTATTTTTTACTCGACACTGAAACAACGTGTAGACAAGAACAATAAACTGCTGTCTTGATGATAGACACCCAAGTTGCTGCAGTGAGATATATTTTACATTTTCTCACTACATTTTATTCTTTATTATTTTTCCTCTTCATATTTTATTTTTTTCAATATACTATTTTTTAACGCCGGATACAAACGTCTCTTGTCGAGTCTCGACAACGTGTGACGTTTCAATCTAAATAAACATTCACAGTACAGCGTTTATGTGGGTGCGTTTTTGACAGAAAAAAAAATGTTTGCATTAAAAAAAAAATAAATTACACATAATTGTGAGTATTTATCATTTAACTGACTAAATAATTACTGCGCATAAACAATGCGTCAATATTATCATCATGATTGTTGTATAAACAATCTAAAGAAGATAACTTGTTTGAAAATAAATTGGCGCGCAAAAAATTAACCCAGCGCCACCTTGCGACTATTTTTATTACCAGAAATGCTAATTGAAGTTTTTCAAATTATTAAAGTAATGTTTTTACCTTATGTAATCACGTTTGCAGTAAGTTTTTCCGTCTCTGACAAAGCAAGTACATCTTTCGTCCAAAAATTGCTGACATTCGGCACATTTCAAACATGCTGCATGCCATTCAAGGTCTGGTGCTACCCTCAAGATCCATTGGTCGTGGATCCAACCACCACAGCCAACACACAATGAACTTTTGGCTTCTGAAATAATTACAATTTTTATTAAATATTATTAATTATTATTTTTTTTTCAATTTGTGTAATTATGAAAATTAAAAGCCGACATTTAAAAATTTTTATTATTTTTTTTTTCATTGAAAAAATTAATCAAAAAAAAATTTTAATTTGTAAAAAACTTGAAAAACTATAAGTGCAATTTTTTAAAAATATTTTTTAGTTATAATTTAATAAATTAAAAATAATCCAAAAATTAATAACTTTAGTATTAATAAGTAATTTATTATGACACTGAAGTTGAGAGAAATTAAACATTTCTTTAGAATTTTATAGTAAAGAAATTATTATGAAAAAAATATAATAAAAGAATTTCATTTGTAAAAAAATTGAAAAACTAATATATGTGCAATTTTTTAAAAATATTTTTTAGTTCTAATTTAATTAATAAGTAATTTATTATGACACTGAAGTTGAGAGAAATTAAACATTTCTTTAGAATTTTATAGTAAAGAAATTATTATGAAAAAAATATAATAAAAGAATTTCATTTGTAAAAAAATTGAAAAACTAATATATGTGCAATTTTTTAAAAATATTTTTTAGTTATAATTTAATAAATTAAAAATAATCCAAAAATTAATAACTTTAGTATTAATAAGTAATTTATTATGACACTGAAGTTGAGAGAAATTAAACATTTCTTTAGAATTTTATAGTAAAGAAATTATTATGAAAAAAATATAATAAAAGAATTTCATTTGTAAAAAAATTGAAAAACTAATATATGTGCAATTTTTTAAAAATATTTTTTAGTTCTAATTTAATTAATGAAAAATAATAAAAAAATTAAAAACGTCGGCTATAACTTTAGTATCAGAATTTCTTCTTAAAATTAATAATTTAGCAGATATTTAATAATTTTTTTAACAAATAAATTAAGACAAAAAAAATTGACATTTAAAAATTTTTTTAAATCAAAAATGCAATTTTTTGATAATTTTTCAGAACAAATTTGTTAGTTAAAAGAAATTAATAAATTTTAAGTGATTTATTTTGTAGCAACATTTCTTCTTGTTAAATGGAACAGCATCAATTTTTGAAGTTAATGGTAAATATTTCTAAATTCAATTTTAATCATAATAAGTCTTAACAAAATTTTTTTAACATTTTTCAGGATTAATGAAGAGCAGAAAATTTAATTTTTTTAATATAATTCTTATTAATTACAGAGGTAATTTTTATCAATTTTTATTTGCTGTAATTATGATTTCTTCTTTCAAAAGACTACTAGGAACTAAAGAACCATTGCAGGAAGAATATAAAAAATCAGAAGTAGAATAACAAAAAAAAAAAAACCAACGCTTAAAATTATTTGAAGATATATAAATTTATGACAAGAAATTTAAAAACAATCGGAAGGTTCAATAAATCTTGAGGTAAAATTTGAATATTAAATCCAACAGTTCGTTGGCATTAATTCAAATAATTAAACTAAAATTTGTTCTAAGTAATCAGCATATGAAGTATATTGTATTGAATTGTATTAAATGTTTTATTGAATACAAATCTTTACTGAAGAATAATTCTCTTTTGTGCAGTATAAAATGGGTGGAACCAAAGGCGGTTCTGTTGAGTCTTTGAGAGAATGTAGCTCCGCCCAGTATCCCAACACCGAGGTTTTATGAAATTGGCGCGAGCGCACGAGGATACAATCCGTATATATTTATTATAACCATATATACCTATATCCAATACAAAAAATAAACACGCACATATACAACGCACGGTGTCAACGTCACGGATAACAAACTCAAGATTTCAATCTTCAATAAATTTCCATCATCTTCTTTCAATATTTTAATACTGATTATCCGGTACGTATCTTCAATTACAGATTAATTTGATGAGCGTATAGAAAATTTTTTCACAATTAATTCAACTTTTTGCGCGACTTCACCTTTAAACAGTAGCAGACTTGCTGAATCACGTTAATCAAAGGTGAAAGCCGTTATTAGTAATATAATAAAAAAAATTTTTAAAACTGTAATTTGATTTGAGTAGCAATTTTCGAGCTAATTAAATCAACAGCCGGATACTCTAGTAGGTAAAAAAAAAAAAAGAATTTTATTTCTCTGATACTCAAATAAAAAAAAAAAAACATTCTATTCGTTGAGATAAAAATTTTATATTGAAAGTTTTTTTTTTTTTTATTGTGTAATAAAATGTTTTTTTATTTATATTTACAAATTTTTATTTTCATAATAAAAAATTTACTCGCTAACTCCCATGAATAAAAATATACATCAAAAATATATTTTAAATATATTAAAAATATATAAATATGTATAGTAAATATATTTTTAATAACTTTTGGCCAAGGATAAATCAAGTGTTAACAAATAATATTTTTAAATGTTTAAAATAGTTAAAAAATCTTTGAAATATTTAATATTTATTTAATAATTATTACCTTCTTAAAAAAAAAGCTTAAAAATGCTAATTTATATACTATTTATATATTATAAAAAAAAAATGATACTGAAGTTGACAGACATAAAAAATTTTTTTAGAATTTTATAACAATTAAATTATAGTGAAAAAAAATAAATAAAAAAATTCCACGTGTAAAAATTAATAAAAATTATTAGTGAAAATTTTTAGAAGCATTTTTTTAATTGTAATTGACTTATTCCAACAATCTAAAAAAATTAACAGCTGTCAGCTAATTTCAGTATTGTCAAAAAAAACTGTAAAGTTATGCAAATAAAACCCAATAATAATAATAACTAATTTTTGGCTGATTTTCATATATATTTTACATATTTCAAATATATTTTTTAAATATTTTTAGCTATGTATTTTTTATGTTTTTTAAGATATAATTTTGAATATATTTAAAATATATATGAAAATTGGAAAATGTTTTTTTATTTATATTTACAAATTTTTATTTTCATAATAAAAAATTTACTCGCTAACTCCCATGAATAAAAATATACATCAAAAATATATTTTAAATATATTAAAAATATATAAATATGTATAGTAAATATATTTTTAATAACTTTTGGCCAAGGATAAATCAAGTGTTAACAAATAATATTTTTAAATGTTTAAAATAGTTAAAAAATCTTTGAAATATTTAATATTTATTTAATAATTATTACCTTCTTAAAAAAAAAGCTTAAAAATGCTAATTTATATACTATTTATATATTATAAAAAAAAAATGATACTGAAGTTGACAGACATAAAAAATTTTTTTAGAATTTTATAACAATTAAATTATAGTGAAAAAAAATAAATAAAAAAATTCCACGTGTAAAAATTAATAAAAATTATTAGTGAAAATTTTTAGAAGCATTTTTTTAATTGTAATTGACTTATTCCAACAATCTAAAAAAATTAACAGCTGTCAGCTAATTTCAGTATTGTCAAAAAAAACTGTAAAGTTATGCAAATAAAACCCAATAATAATAATAACTAATTTTTGGCTGATTTTCATATATATTTTACATATTTCAAATATATTTTTTAAATATTTTTAGCTATGTATTTTTTATGTTTTTTAAGATATAATTTTGAATATATTTAAAATATATATGAAAATTGGCCAAAAATTAGTTATTAAAAATATTTTTTTTCATGGGGGAAGAGATTTAGTTTTTGATTATAAATTATAAAAAAAAAAAAAGAAATAAAAAGCCAGCTATCTAAAGATCTACTTATATATACAGTTTGAAATCTTTTGCAGGTCGTACACTTTGAATCAAGTATATATATATATATATTTAAATATACAAAGCAATGGAGTACATAGTACATAGAGGATTATATATACATATATGCTGTGGAATGAGACGAGTATACCACCAAAGTCGAGAAGAAGACTGAGGATTTTTCGGTCGCAAAGTCTTACAAGGCACGTACTACATCCTCGGCCGTACAAGTATCCGCGAAATAAAGAGTAGAGTTCTTCGAGTACCAGAAGAAGAAAGAGAGAGGTTTTGTGGTGTGATACAGGATCAGCATCCAGGCGCGCGCGCGTCTACAGAGTGAGAGAGGGCAAGGTCGGTGAGGATCAAAGAACCGAATCGGACGGGTGAGTGTTAGCGGCGTCCCATTAGCTTCCACTGACTACGACCACCACATATAACACATAACACATCTCTTATTATTTTGTGTTCTTATTCTTACTCCACCACGTTGTCTTGTATCCAGATCCCAGATGAGAGTCCGGATCGAGGATGAGAAAGACGCCGAGGTGTGAGAGGATAAAGAGGAAAGATCGTACAGTATAAGAGGAGCTGAGCTGTGAGCTTGTAAGACCGGGTTGAGGGAATTTAATAGAAGAAAACCGTGTTAGGTCTTACGATAAGTATATGTATACTAAAGGTAGAAGAAAAAATAGGAATTGTATTTGTGTTGAAGGTGGGAATCTCTGCTGGGCTTTCCGGAATTATAAGGAAGTTTTTTTTATTTTATAAAATTATTTTTAAGAAGTTTGAAGATATGGTAATTACTTTGTAACGAGTTGTAAAAAAATAATTGTTATTGGTAATTAGGTTGAGGAAAAAATTAACTTGAGACGAGCAAAAAAATTTTTAAACTTTACACTGAAAAAAAAATTCTTGACTGGAGTGTAAATTTTTTTAGCTCAAGAAAATATTAAAGAAGATTGAAAATTTTTTCTTGCTCCAAAATAACTTTTATTTTCTATAGAATTTTCTTGGTGCAAGAAATTTTTTTTTCTGTGTATTAATTAAAAAATTGCTTTTAATTAAAGTGAATTTTAATTTTTTAGAGATTGTTTTTGCTTAATTTGAGATTTTTTTTTTTTAATTAAGTTAATTTTAATATAGAAAAAAAATTCTTGATTAAAATGTAAATTTTTTTGGCTCAAGAAAATATTAAGAAAGATTGAAAATTTCTTGAATAGAGTCAAAATTTCTTAAGCCAAGAGAATTTCTTGCTCCAAAATAATTTTTGTTTTTCATAAAATTTTCTTGGTGCAAGAAATTTTTTTTTCTGTATATTAATTAAGAAATTGTA